GTAATTGTATAATTGTACTGTATTATGGTATAAGCCAATTTGGTCCTCACTGTGCTTGACCTCTGAAGAAGGCCTAAACAGGCCAAAACGCGTCAGGTCAAATCCATTGGCCCTTGTGTGCATGATTTTGGTATTTTTATATGAGGTGTAATTTGGCCCTTATGTGTTTTTTTAAATTCTTTGCTAATAAATACATCTATTTTTATATTATATACATTAAGTTTTAATTGTTGGCCCTCTACTCTGTTGGACGTTCCTCTTTAGGTTCTTGATCGTAGGTTTCAGGGTTAGGTTTGTTCTCCCTTTTTGTCACCAGGAAAGCTATGCCAGAGACCACGGGACTTGCGTTGACAAAAATCCATGCAGGCTGCAAGGCCTTCAAGTGAGACTGCACTAGCAGATAAGGTGGAAGGATCCAACCCAGTGTCCATATAAGAGCAGAGATCTGAAGGCAAGACTCAGGCAATAGTTTAATGGTTTCAAAGCCCAGAGATTCTTACTTTTAAAAAGATTTTCATCTGCAAAATCTTTTATAGCAACATTAGAAACTAGAGCAAGTGGATCAGTTTTAAAGTTCATTGCTATAGCTAGTCATATATTTTGTACCATTATGTTGTCACGTTTTATCTTACATTGGTTCAAATTGATTATATAAAAGTCAAGCAGAACTGAAACCGCTTCTGAAGTTTGCACATAAAACTGAAATATCACTTTCCATTTACAAATATTCACATTCCAACTCAGTATGCAAATCTGTTAAGTTTACTGAATGCAAGCTTTGTTTTATGTTTATTTCAGTTCCGCAGCCAAAGGCATTAAAATGTCCATTAATGTAAATGAGCCTATTATTCAACACAAATTCTTATGCTATATTAGTTTGGTATATCAGGGTTATTAGAAGTACTGGGTTGGCTAGACAGCTGAAGAATATAGCTCAAATTTCATATGCTAATGGAGTCCTTGTAACAAGCTCCACACGTACTTATTTCCAGACTTAAAAAGGATTCATGGAAAAAACTCTAATGGATTTTTACCAATAGGAAATTAATGTGTGGAACAAATGAATAGTTTATAAACAAGCCGGTTTCAGATAACTACTGCCTTTTGCAGGTAGACCATTTCTTCTTACAAGATTCTCTCTTACATTTGATGGCAGGCATTATAACTCAAACCTAAAATAATTAATTAACAACAGGAAAAAACCCCACATTTTAATATGACTATTCTGGACAATTACATGCTGAACTGCAAACTACTATTAACAGTCCCATCCTAACACCACATTCCTGGGAGTAAATACTACTGAATAAAATGGGTCTAGCTCCCTGTGTTATTTGCAGTGCAGAGGTACTTACACTCTTCTAAGGTCACTAAAGTCAGTCAACAACGATGAAAAGAGAAGAAGAAATTAGCGTCTGCTTCCAAAAGCTTATTTATGCCAAAATAAGGGATCAGGAGGTGGTCAGCAGGGACTATTTCAAGCACTGCATCGAGAAGGACTCATAGAATTGGATGGGACCTCCAGGGTCATCTAGTCCAACCCCTTGCAGAAATCAGGAAATTCACAAATACTCACCCACCCCCCGTGACAGCTGTTCCACACCCAGAAAACGACAAAAGACCTCCAGGATCTCCAGCCAAACTGGCTTGGAGAAAAATTGCTTCCTGAGCCCAAAGTGGCGATCAGCTTTTCCTTAGGCGTGTAAGAAAGAACTAAGGCCACAAGAACTAAGCACCGAGGCAACCCTTCCTGCCCTCCCTCTCACGATCTGCCTCAGTTCACAAAATCAGCATTGCTGTCAGGTGGAAATCGTGGTGCCCGAAACTGAACCCAACACTCTTGGCGAGGTGTAACCAGAACAGAGTAAAGTGGTACCATCACTTTGTGTGATCTGGACACTATACTTCTGATACAGGCCAAAATCGCATTTGCCTTTTTAGCTACCGCATCACACTGCTGACTCATGTTCAGCGCATAGTTCACTTAGGCTGTGATCATACACACAGTTAGACCCGGCATAGGTGCGAAAGCCAGGTGGATCTAAAGGGGGCAATCAGACAACAACATCTGGGAAGAACCCCGCAGGCGTAAGCAACCCGCGCTACTCTACCGCAGAAGCGGAGTTAAAAGACACCAGGGAAAATCCAGTAGTAAATTGGTTGTGACGGGCCACGGGGGGACTTTCCCCTGTCTGATCACTCCAGTGTGCTCTCATGCCATCGGGATGGTCTGATCAGGTCATCCCGACTCTGTGCAAGTTCCCCCCCCTCACAGTATGCACATCATCACAAACTTCATAGGGAGCCGTCAGTGCAGAGGTGTGGTTCATTGATTCCTTGTTTAAGTGCATGGAAAACAAATGGCACACACAAGAAAAGACTCACCCACAGTTGCGTCTGATCACACACTGACGGTCTGTGCCCGCAGCTTCAAAGGGAGGTGTGATCAGGCAACTGTGGGTCAAATTTCTCAGGAGGAAATAGCTTCGCTCCCCCCGCCCATTTTTTCTGGCACGTGTGACCGCAACCAAAGTCTTCATTCAGACTTTGCTTAGTGGAGTGATAAGATACAGGCCATCAATTCCCTTGTTAAAGCATTATCTTTTAAAGGTTTTTGTTCTTGCTATCATTAGCAATGATTCCACAAAAAGACCTTCATTTTCTATTCTTGTTACTTCCTTCTGTGTGGCACTCAGAATGGCACCCATCACAGCTAATCACAGCACACCATACTCACTGAAATGAAAAGCCTACAGGGCCCAATTTTATATGCTTTTATGAGGACAGCCACACAAACGCACACAATCTAAGAAGAATGAGGCAGTCTCCTGGCATCACAGATTAACACTTAGACCTTTAAGTTTCAAGATGTCTGACAAGGTGTTGGATAATGTGATTTCACAGAAATAAGGCTAATAAATGTTGATGCCTGCGCACCAAAAACAGACAATGTGCCTCAGGTTTTGTTGTTGTTTTGGCCTATATCTATGGAGTTCATTCCTTGCCATGTTCCTGCCATTTCAGAAGCCTCCAACCTTTCCTTAACTGGTGTGCCTAATTCAAACTTGCTCATATACAGCAGAGTTTACTGAAGTAGAATTGGTTTGCATTGTTTATAGGAAGGCTTACACAGCCACCAGAGGTTAATAAATTCATCACAATAAATTAAATTCATCAAAGGGCTATATAAAATCAACAATGCAGATTTTTAAGACAATCTATTACAAAGTAGTAGACTACATAGCAGAACCAGGCACTCATTCATGCTCATTTGTGACAAAACACAACAGACCTCTTCTGACTTAAGTTCGCAGAAGTAAATGTCTTTGTTCCCATAAAGGCCTTGCTCACCCAAATTCTGTCTGTTAGTCTGTTGTATATTAAGCAATTTTGTCACAGGAAGGAGGAATAACCATCCACTGCAAGTGAGCACACAGAACAGCGCTTTGTGACTTGGGGCCATTATGTAGAAATGAGTGGTCTAAGGCAAATCAGGATGGTAAGGAATCATGCCCCTGCTTTGGACAAGCACTCAGGGTGGGTCTCAAAGGGAAATGAAAATGTTCACACACACACACTGCAGGCAGCCATCTGCCCCAGTATTAGCACCTGCCCTCTGAGATAGAAGAGTGGCTTCTTCCCACCTCCAGTACCTTCAGAACAGCAGTGGAGACAGCCTAAATTAAAGCCTTTTTGCAGCGTCAGTGGTCCAAACTGGCAACAAAGTGCCCTAATGCACAGAGAATAAGATTGGGATGCCTGCTGTAGTCACTAGTGGCAAATAAAGTTAAGCCAGTGATTAAAATAAAGATGTAAACAAAAAAATGGTACCAATGCATCAGACCAATGGGCCTGAAAAATTGTATGAAAACAGCACAAAATGGGTACAGTTTGGAGGAAGGTTAGGAGAATATTTAGAACCTCCTACCAAAAATATTTTACTCAAATGGTTGGTGCAGCTTGAAAAATAAGTCCCACAAGTCCCAACACAGCATCTTTTGAAGTGAATGTGCTTTGGATCTTGACGTTAACTCCGTTATGCTCAATGGGATGTGAGTCTACTTTAAACAACAATTTGCCCATGACACCAGTGCAATCTTACAGAAGCACTGGTAGGAGTACCACTGCTTTGTGACATGGTTGTAATGCAGCAGTATACAAGATCCACCTGAACTACACACACGTGGGAGATGAAAGAGTTAGAAGCTGGTCATTGGATGCAGCATGTGATGGAGCCTAAAAGCCTTAATTCAATATTCTTCATTGATATAAACCCATCTATAGCACAAAATGTTTCCATCTTACTGAAACTAAATAGGCCAGGTCCTGGTCAGAGCCTGGAAGGAAAACCACTTGGAAACTGTAGGTATGCTACCTGAGTACTCTGAAAGAAATGTAGGGTAGAATTATATATTAAAAGAAACCTCCCTTCACAGAAGTAATGGAGATCTGTTTTCCTTTTTCTTCCTGAAACTCATCACATTTTACTGCAACTAGTCAAATTTTCTGCAGCTGCCTAGCATTTGAGAAAATAAGTCAAGGGTGGTAGGAATTGCCTTAAATGATATATACATGGTGCTCTATGACTGTTAAATTTACCTGGAAAAAGAGAGCCATGTTAAAAACTAGCATTTTAAACTGAAAGTTGAAAGAACTCAACAACACATCATCAGTCAATCTACACTAAACTCTGCTCTCCTCAAAGCCAAATGGAAGCTTACCTGTGAAAATCTGTATTCTCAGATACAAATGCACAGGTTCCTGGACTCCTTCAACTCTCTTGCCATTCTCTCTGTTCAGTTTCATTGTCTGAAGCAGTGTGACTGCTGGTTTACAAACACAATCTCACTGCCTTGTGTACAAAACAGCACTACCCTTGAGGGTTTTGCCACCAGTTTCCTATATTTACACTATTGATCATTCTAGCTGATATGCTTATCTCCTTTGTTTCTACGCAGTAGTTTTCATGAAGCCAATAAAATGTTGAGTTAGCAGCTCACCCATAATGAGTACGATCCCCTGCGACTCCCCGGGAAGGTCAGCATGCTCTGATCTGAGAGAGCAGTCCAGCCACGGCTTCTGGACTGTGGCCATTCAAAACCAGTCTCTGGTTGTTCGGTTTTGCTTTTCTGCTTTCTTATAATCTGTAGCCATTTGAAAAACAAAGGGAGGCTCAGTGAAAAACATTACTGGATCTATACAAAAGGGACTTCACTGTGCAATCCCAAACACAGGCTGAAAACAGGGCTGAAAGGATGTAACTGGTTTTAGAATTTCACAGTTAGAACCAAGTAATCAGACTGTACAACTGCAATCTTAAAACTGTCTTTACGTTTGGTTCCAGGTCCAGCCAGCTTCATCTTTGACAGCCTGCATACATGTCAACCATTACCATAATCCACAGAATTTGTAAAGAAACGGAGTGAATTTATAACAAGGACCTACATATTCTATTATCATCACTGTGTTTGTGCTGAAAGTTTACTATGTATCATTTCTGAAACTTATCTTATTCACAGAGAAGCTTCTGGGAAACACAGAGAGAAAGAGTGCTAAAAATATTAACTGTGCATGATCCACAATCTTATTCATTAATGGGAGTTGATGGAGGGAAAATATTGAAATTTTCTTGAAGAAGTCTGATAATGTAAATTTTAATCAAGGCATCATAAATATTTGCCCACATTTTCACTCATTAAAATAGAACATTACTATATTTAAGTGCCCACTCAATCTTTGGTGTAAATAAGAAGAGTGCTTATTTATTACCATTAGAGCATCAAGAGTTGTGAACAAAAAACAGTAAATCAAATGTGTCACACCAGTTTAGGATAACAAGGTTGTAAAACTATTCACATTTATCTAGAAATAAGTCCATAAAACATAGTGGGGCTTACTTCTGAGTAGATATGCATAGGATTGTGCAGCAAAACATAAGACACAGTTAGGACAGCTCTAAACTTCCTACAGACTTTTTCAGACTCTGCATTTTGTGACTTCAAGTCATCATCATTATTTATAGTCCAATAAAAGCTTATAACATATATCAGAAGCTGTACAGAAACGAAATGTGCAGTTGCCACCATCCAGGTTGGGGTCTGGAGATCGTCTGCAATTTATATTGATCTCCTGACTACACAGGACAGTTTCCCTGGAGAAAATGGCTTCTTTGGAGGGTGGAATCTATGGCATTATACCCTGCGAAAGTGCCCCCTCCCTCCTCCACAGGCTCTACCCCCAAAATCTCCAGGAATTTCCCAAGTCAGAGTTGTCTAGCCTACTCACACACTCATAATTCTCCACACACCCCCCAAACATACACAATGATACAGTTGCTCTAAGATAGCATTAATGTAAAAAATTGTAAGTACCAAATATTAACTTTTGGGGAAAAAATGTAACCCCTGGTAGCATTTCAGCTACTGATGAACTTCTTGAATCCTACCTTCTGGACAATGGTGGTGGCAAGCTCTTCTATCAGCTCCTCCTTGTGCTCTCGTAAATAAGTAGCTTCATTCTGTTTCTCCTGCACACAAATAATGCACATTAAATGTTTGCTTTTCACTTATAAGCTAAGAGACAAAGTAGATGCTCCATCCAGAGATCTCTGAGCAGGTCTCCTGCAGTTTTTAAAAAGGGTAACAGCAGCAGCCCCTAGTGTGGTTCAGGGACCCAGCATCAGGGAAGCAAGTCAGCTGTTTTCCCCAATGTCATTTTCCAACCTTAACTGCTCCCCCTATAGGTGTACATATAAGCCCATATAGGTTAAAACATTTTAAAATGTGTAAAATAATTACTAAGGCCATCTATGAAGGAAAATGGGAGGGAAGGCGGCATGGTATAGCCTGATCTCATCAGATCTGGGAAGCTAAGCAGGGTTGGTACTTGCATGGGAGACCACCAAAGAAGGCTTTGCAGAGGAAGGCCATGGCAAACCATCTCAGCTTCTCGTTTGCCTTAAAAGCCCCTTGCTGGTGTCACCATAAGTCAGTTGTGACTTTATGGCACATATATACACATGAAAGAAAATACAACATAAATCTATAAATTTATCTAAACATTTGGGCCTCATTCACAAAAGTATTACACTACAAAGAAGGTGAAACATTGACAAACCCGTAAGAGTTAGTCCCACCATACCTGAAGTCCAGACACACCATAGCCCTGTCTGCAGAGCCTAACTATATGCAATATAGTTTTCTTGGGCACATTCCCTGGACCCAATCAAGAGACTTGGACTGGGAGTTCTATGTGTGTCTAGGAGGAGCAGTTTCAACATTATTATATTATTTATTATTCTTTATTTATATCCCGCCTTTCCTGCACAGGATAGGATAGGAGCTGTAAATCGTGTGCTGTCCTAGCAGGAGACCAGCCACAAACCCTCCAGCAAACACTGGGGAAATGCCAGCAGTAGTATAGCCACAGTACACTTTCCCACCCTTAAAATCAGATGTGCCGGGCTCAGCTCTCAATGGTAGCACTGGAAGGAAGGGTGAGAAGCATGACTACTGAGCATGACTACACACTGAATAATGCACCCTGAATCAACTTCAGTGCACTTTGCAACTGTGTGAAACAGCAAAATCCACTTGTAAACAATTGCTAAAGTGCACTGGAAGTAGATCTGAAAAGTATGCTATTGCAATAATTCTTGACAAAATACATGACATCACTGTGCTTTTCAGTAATGCAATGGGGTAAATGACTACTGAGCATGACTACACACTGAATAATGCACCCTGAATCCACTTCAGTGCACTTTGCAACTGTGTGAAACAGCAAAACCCACTTCTAAACAATTGCTAAAGTGCACTGAAAGTAGATCTAAAAAGTATGCTATTGCAATAATTCTTGAAAAAATACATGACATCGCTGTGCTTTTCAGTAATGCAATGGGGTAAGTGAAGTTGGTAAAGTTCTGAACATTTTCCTGCTAATTTAGCAGGAGCTACTGAAAATTTTCTTAAGTGGAGGGAGAGATCAAGATAATGAATGTTGTTAATTTTTCTTTACCAAGCTGTCACTGTACGTCTCTGTCTTAGAAATAGCTTCTTCTATGGCTTCTTCTGCAACACGCAATGCCACAGAGAGGGTATCCATCATGCTGTGTCCTAAGCAAAGAGTACAATAAAATATGGGCAGAGTTTATGAAAGGCAGTATCCAGGTTATTAAACCGGAAGGGAAAATCAGACTCTTTCTACAAACACTCCATAGCATTACACTCCCCACCAAAGGCATCAGTTTATGCAACCCAGATCACAGTTTGCCAAATGTACAATTTACTTGCAGTGAAAACTGACACAAGCAAATCAAGCTATGTGTTGTGGAAGACAGCAAATATATATATTTATTTTAAAAATTATTAAATCCACCAGGCCATTAGTCAATATGAGCTGAAGGAAACTGTTTTACAGACTTAAAGTTGGGAGCTAAGCAATCAGTCAGTCCTTGAACACTTACAAACTCCACTATGGAAGGTCACTTTTTGTAATACATTTTGTGTAACAATACAATGTGTATAAATATACTCAGACTTCAGGAACAAAACCCACCACCAGTAACGACCTAGCTGTATAGCGTAATGAGGATATAATCCTAATAAACTACATAAAGGTATATGAAGGAAGGCAAATAAAGAAGTGTATTGAAACACTGACCTTATTTTTGATGTTCTGGAATGATAACAAACATTACTATGTGACACTTACCATAAAATACTATAATAAAAATGCTTGTTAAAAATTCAGCTGCACCTCACTGCACATACCAGTTTTGAAGCATAGATGCATACAGAAAGTGCTTTCTCGTTTAAATCCCTTCAAACAGGAAATAATTGGACCGTATATTTTCAAGATACCAGCAGTAATTTTGTTCATGCTGACAAATTTCAAAACAGAAGGGTATGTATCTGTACTCTTGAATGCAAAATATAATATTAAAATGGTCCTCTGTCTTCCCAAAGAAATTTTTTTTGGGTACCATTCTATGTTTCTACAATTCTTGTCCCTATTTATGAAAAAAAAATGAAGACGTAATAGAAGCAATTCCCAATTCAACATTAGGAGGTTGCATTCAGGTATCCTCAGACTAAATAGATACAGAAATATGGCTGTTTCAGGTCATGTTAGGAATATCCAGACCCATGAAAATTCAGAATTTGTTGGAAAAAATGGGGCCTATCCTTGCTCTCTGACCTGTTTTTGGTTGTTCTTCCGGCATTTCCTGCAAATTTGGTGGCATTTAGATGAAAAATAGCCACCCCAGACCCCTGGATTGACTCCCCTATAGGAAACAATGGACCCAAAATTCCAAAATTTCCAAACCCCCCCCCCCCAAAAAAAAACACACACACCCCAAATGGGTTTCCAGATAGGTAAGGGCACTCCTGAAAATTCAGAATAATGAAAACAATGCCCTTCCCAAAATCTGGATCCAAAATTAACACCTTTTTTTAAAGTGCACACTCCTATTCAACATTATATCATACGCAGAGGCAAAAATGCCTTCCTCAAATGATTGGCTTAGGGGAGACTGCTGTAGATAATGTCATAATTTATATTTTGAGAAGATTACTGAAAAATTATGAAAAACTGGAAATGGAAGGAGTGTTGGCAATAAACTATACAGATACTGTTATGTGGTTAGTTGGTAGGCTTCCATGTGTGTGAGAAAACATATCAGAGAAAAGGATTGAAAAGGTTGTGAGTGAATGCCTCCTAAGCAGGCTGCAAACCAGAGGCAAGAAATTCTCCAGCCACAAAGTGAGCCACAAAATCCAGTAACTCACTGCAGGATTTGGGAGAAAGGATACTGAGATTACAACGGCTTTGTAAATAAATCCACAATTTCCAGCCAACGCTAGCGAGGCTGTCTGCCCTCACAGACCAATGAAAGTCACTTGCCTGGGAAAAAAAATAGAAACTATTCTCATCCAAAATCTTCTGTACTTGCTTAAGGTGGTTCTTACTTACCACGGGCAAACAGACTATGTGAATCCTGAGGTTGGATCCTGCCCATTCTGAAAACAACAGTGCTTTCCTCCAGTTCAAAGAATCTTCCCTGACGATATAGTTGCCAGGTCCTGGCAACTGGTGGGGAATTTGGGGGGGGGGGCTTACCAGGAGAGGGAGGCCCAGGTGACATCGCCAGCTACGTGGCTATGTTACTTCCAGCATGCAACAGAAGCAATGTCATCATACTGCACTGTCATGGTAATGCTCTGGTACTTGGGAAAAACTCTGGTCAAATGGCTTCTACCATACAGCTTGTGCTCAAATTACCAGAGCACCATCTGGACATCACCAGTGTGATGATGTCACTTCCCATGCACGTCAGAAGTGATGTCGCCAGCAACATTGCCTGGGACTTCCTCTTTCTCCTAGTAAGTCCCCCTGCTGGCCAGCTGATTGGCAGTGGCGAACAGGGCCTGGTGGCAGGGGACCCCCGCCTCCACCAGGGAGTCTGGCAACCCTACCTGATGTTGGCGTATAAGAGGAAGGTTCCTTGTACCAGTGGCAAGGACTCCTCTTAGAGGATGGAATCTGAATGATCTAAACTTGAGACTAAACAATATGTGTTCATCTTTAGACTCCAATGTCCTTTGGAAACACCCATTTATGGTCTTGGTTATTTCATTCAGCAATAAATCCACAACTACTCAGTCCTAGATTAACAAAATAAATAAAGTTCTAATAGAATTACCTTCTGTCTGCCTGTAGAATGTAGAATCACTGCCACAAATACTTCCTTCATTTTCAATGGTTCCCTCGCAAAAGCTACCGGCTTCTGGTCAAAAAGACAATTATGCTCATCATCATTTCCCATTGTCATATGTAGCATCAGGATAAAGAGGTGGGGGGAGAGATCCTCAGCACAGACATTGAGCACAAAACTGTTTGAAGGCATGGCTTTATTCAAAAATATTTCCTTCAGTGGAAAATCTCTCACACCAGACTAATCCTTGTACTCAGACAACCTCTGTTCAAGTAAAAGGGGGACTGTGAAGTTAACAATAGGGACAGATTGCTCACAAAACGTTACTGCAGAAGACTAGCTTTGAAGATGATATTCTGGACTTGAAATAAATCCTGGATTTTAAAGGGCACCATTTCATTAAAAAAGGGACAGTTAAACCTGCTTCTGTATCAAAGGGAACAAGAGGGCTTATCTTACAGTCACACTGAGAAGAGAGAAAAAATGAAAGTTAGCAGTGACAAAAAAAAAAAAGAGATGAGGTATTTATTCTAAGCAGATATAACCTCTCATAAATCTGAGGGGGGAAATAGTGCCTTATTCATATGGTTAAGAAGCCAGTTTCCTTCCACTACTCTCAATGTGTTGATCAGGTTGGAGAAGGGCACACTAACCAGTCAGGAAGCAACCCTGCACACTCCAGGCTTTCCATCACCCCCATCAATAGCAGTGGTTGGTTCCAGGTTCAGGAGGCGGAAGAATTCCTCTCAGTACATTACTCCTCTGTAGGGTTGCCAGCTCTGGGTTAGAAATACCTGGAGATTTGGGGGTGGAGCCTGGGGAGTGAGGAATTTGGGGAGGAGGGGGACCTCAGCAGGATGTTATAAGCAAAGCTTGGTTGGGAGAGAGATGTAGCACAGGAAAAGAGACAAAATGCCAGACTCTCTTCCTCAGGAGCATGGATAAGTGATCTTGGTCATGTGGAGATCAGATATAATAGTGAGAGCTCTCCCAGTGCTACATGGAGACTGGAATCCCTACTCCTATGTCACTCGTTACCCAAAGCAATGTTATAAGATCAAAATGCTTAGCCGTGTTAGTCTGTCTGTAGCAGTAGAAAAGAGCAAGAGTCCAGCAGCACCTTAAAGACCAACAAAATATGTGGCAGGATATGAGGTTTCGTGAGTCTTCTTCAGTCATCTGAAGAAGTGAGCAGTGACTCACGAAAGCTCATACCCTGCCACATATTTTGTTAGTTTTTAAGGTGCTGCTGGACTCTTGCTCTTTTCCACTGTTACAAGCAAAGCTTGGTTGGGAGAGAGATGTAGCACAGGAAAAGAGACAAAATGCCAGACTCTCTTCCTCAGGAATATTCATCTTATATTCATTGTCCAGTCACAGGAGAGAAATAAGGCAATTTTACTCATTTCCCTCTCTCTCACTTCAGTCCCTCACTCCAACATTCATGATGTTCCTGGGGTACACTGACCCATAGGGGCACCATATGGGGGGCGGCACAGAAGACTGCAATGGAGGGTAAATGTGAATGCTGCTGTACATGTAGTGCAGTCTTGCTCACACTGCATAGGATCCAAGCGAAGATTTCCATGGATGAATACATACGGAAAATGTTACATTTTAATTTAAACCCATGCATGGTTTTCGGGAGAAATCTGTAAATAGCATTCTTACTTAAGGATCTGGGGAGGTTGTCTAAAATAGGTCCTTATGAACTTCTACTCACAGATTTTACCTGGGAAAAGATTATTTAAAAAACCATGAAAGTATTTTCTGTGCCTATGAAATCATTCCTTCCTGGGAATTAATACACAAGACTCCAGCAAAGGAAAATGTTATCTTAGGAAAGGGGAAAGAGGGGTAAGATGACCTAACCTGAAAGAAAGATACTTGCAAAAAGCAAAACCTTTGTCTTCTTACTAAAATAGACATAAGAAGTTTAATCAGAGAAACACATAGCTAAACCAACTTTTCTTTACCTAGTATCTCAGAACAAGCACCACTCTCCAGTCGATGTTTTCTATATAAATTCTTCAGGACTTTTGCACTTCCAAAGCGTTTGAAGCGACTTTTCACATTATTATAATACCATTCCAGGGACTGGGCTCTTAACAGTCTGGAAAATAGAAAGATTTCATAACGTTTAAAATTATTAAAGTAGTGTCATTTGAGTTTCTGTCAAAAACGCATTTAGATTTCTGAATACTTTAGATGTTCATGGTTAAGGAAAAATAAAGAAAATGTACATGTTCTAATGGACATAATGGTGTTTGCCTATTACTATACTGAGCTGTTCTTTTCCCATTGTATGCTCAGTTTACAAATGGAACAAATTTGAGATGCCAACAAACCCAGTTGTACAAGTATTTACCACAATTCTTGCTTCTTTTTTCAATTATAGTTTTATAGTTTGTGTAAACAAACCCAGTTGTACAAGCATTTACCACAATTCTTGCTTCTTTTTTCAGTATTTTCCAAATATTTTTGTAAAACATTTCAAAGTTTGAAGCAGAAACAATGTGAGCTTTGTGTGGATTGGCTAGCCCTCCATGATGTCATAAGAAGATTTTCTAAGGTTTCCACTTCTTGAAACAAAACATTCTGGCACCTGGCTGGGCCCAGGGCCATAAATACACCCATCCACATATATTGCTACCAGCCCACTGATAAAATCCATACCACAACTGTGCAACAAATAATCTAGCAGATAATGCAAGAAAGTAAACTAAACTATGGACAACAAGTTGACAGCAAGGTAACTCCTTTGGCCATTTTGCTGATATGAAGCATTGAGACTGACTAGTCTCAAGAAAAATGGAAAAATTGAAAAAGGTTTGCAGAGCATCCTGGCTGCTGCTGACTCTTTGTCTCTGTTCCTGGCTGGCTAGGCAGGCAACCAGGGAAGCTAATGCACTTACCCTTCACTAATGTTGCTGATCCATATCCCTAGACAGGATTCGATTGTGTGTATATTTTAGAACATTTTTATTGCAGTTTATCCTAGGCGCTCGGGGTGATGTGCACTGTTCTCCCTCCATTTTTTCCTCACAGCAACAATTCTGTGTTAGGTTGAGAGAGCATGACTGTGCCCAATGTCAACCAGCATGGTAGAGTAGGCATCTGGCCTAGGATCGAAGTTCAGCCCTCTAACCACCATGAGTGAGGCATGGTAGTGTACCAATGTCAACCAGCAAGCTTCATGGTAGAGTAGGCATTTGGCCTAGGATCTAAGTTCAGCCCTCTAACCACCATGAGTGAGGCATGGCAGTGTACAGTTTCATATAGATACAAACATTTGGGCTCCCATGTACCTAGTGGGTTTATGTATGCAACACATGCATTTGTAAAATAAGCAACATTTTTAAATTTAAAAAAAAACACCTTATAAGAGATACGTGCATCAGACAAAGCCAGCAACACCATCTTGCTCTTTTCTTGTTCTTGCATAAAAATTGGGAGCAGGGGAGGGGGAGTGAGATAGGGAAGCCAGCCTTCAGGTGGGACCTGGAGATCCCCTGGAATTATAAGTCATTTCCAGACTACAGTTCCCCTGGAGAAAAAGGATATTTTGAAGGTGAACTCTGTACCCCACTGAGGTTCCTGTCCTCCCAGGCTCCATCCCCAAATCTCCAGGAGTTTCCCAATTGCCTGCGCCGGCGCGTGGGCGGGGGGTGGGGGGGGGGGGGGCTGGCAACCTTAGAGTAAGACATATCCCAGTATAAGGTGAATTTTAGTTGGGGAGAATTAACTAGGTTTCCCCCCCTTAAATAAATAGCAAATGAATGGATAAATGTATGCAGTGTTTTAAAAAAATAGGGGGGGGGGGGACGACAAGGCATGGATGATGGCTAAGCCAAGACCAGATTTATAATTATAATTCATAATTGTTTGCCGCACTCAGCTCATTTAACACAGAAATAATAGAGTTCTAAACAAATTCAGTTCAGTTTATTTGTTACGGTCAACAACCATATTCAAACATAGTACAATATAAAAGATAATAGCTTAAAATAAAAATGTCATTGGACTATACAAGTCGTCATATTTCACAGATAAAATGTACTAATAATCATATTTCACAAATTAAAAAATCACATATTATTTTAAAAATATAAAATCAGAAAAGGAGAAGTGGAAGGAGAATTCCTATTGAACAGGTCTATTGTTTGCTGCACACTTTGATCGCTTGGACACAAAACTTAGTTGTCACCTTAGTGATAACTGGAATTGCATCTATCACTAAGCAAATTTTATAATGCTGAGGTAACATTCCTCTTAAGAATTTCTCAAGCACAATGGCTTATCAGCTCTGTTCCTTAAAAAAGTTAAGTGTGAATGAGATATAGTCTACATCTTGAGAGAAGATACAAGCAAACACAACTTGATTTCCTTTGATTTCTTCTTAAAACCACTTTAATAGGCTTCTGATAAGTTAGCACACATTTTCAAAGAATCAGTCTCATGACTAAGGTCCAGTTCATACATGATTTTTCCAACAGAGAATGCGATTTACAGTGCCATCCTAAGCAAGCCCACTCAGCAACATACTCAATTCTACTCAGTGAGGCTTACTCCCAAGAAAGTGTTCTCAGGATTGCACAGTTAATGTAGGAAAGTGTATGAAAGCAAAAGCAGTACTGTCACATGTTATGACTTACATATTTTGATGCATTTAAGTTATGGATTATATTCATGTTTGGTAACATGGTTGGTAACATGACAGGCAGGATTCCATGATTTTTTTTTCTCCTGAGGGTGGGTTTGATTCTTTCATTTTCATCTTGTTAGTTCAGTTTAACCTTATCCATAACATACATATAGCCAAAAAATCCTTCATGTATATTATTTATTTATTTATACCCTGCCCTCCCTGCCAAGGCAGGCTCAGTATTACAAAGTAAGTTCTTGCCTACAAATGCCATGTGACAATAAACCAGTCAGGCCAATTCTTATGTTGCAGGAAAGATTATGGTTCCCCACTGCCCCGGGCATCTTTGATAACATCTGATAATGTCTGAACCCAAGGAAGTTACATAAAGGATGTAGATAATGATGTAGCTATTTCTAGGGATGTGATGCTGGATCAAACATATCAAAAGCTGACCAAAATCACAATCATGCTCTAATATAGTTAATATCATGAATCCAATTGCAATTATTTCCAGTTCAGTGATTGAGACAACCCGTGAGAATTTCACCTAAATTGGAGGGGAGAAAAATGCATTACAATTAGAAATGCACTTCACATGAAAACCAATACAACAAACAAAGAATGGGAAAAAAGAATCCAAACAGATATAACATCTGGAGGGGAGAAAAATACATTACCATTAGAAATGCGCTTCACATGAAAACCAATGCAACAAACAAAGAATGGGGAAAAAAGAATCCAAACAGATATAACATGTGTAATAAAGAAAATTAACACAAGGTATTACAGAGCAAAATGAACTGACTAGTGAAATGACATTTCTGTGCACATCCCTAGTTCCTTCCATATACTTGGTGCTGCAATGCAAACCTTCCAGCTGTATACCTCTATCAGCTCATAGCTCCAGATTTGCGTAGAGCCATATCCTTGGCTAGATTTAATGTTCTTCCTTCAGCTATTTTATCTGGCAGATTCCAAAGGGATTCCCTATCCTAGCAGGTGCTGTCCTTGTATGAAGCACTGCGACGAAACTGTCTCCTATGTTCTCTTCCACTGCCCTCTCTATCTGGTGTCCTGTCAGGATCCTTGATATCCCATATTAGCCCAACTTTTAGAGACCTCTAATGATTTTAAGGTCCTTTTCTTGCTTGATAATCCAGATATAGAAATAACTGAAATAGTAGCAAAGTTTCTTTGCAGTGCTATGATTACACGTCCTGACAAGCAATACTATGAATTAGGTTTTATTATGCTGTTACTCTGTTTTTTATCCTGTAATTCCAATTTTACTCTGCACAGATTTTGTATTTTCCTAATCTGTAATCAGGTCGATTTACTAGTGTATCTATATGTACATGCCAATAAAGGCTTGTCTGACTGACTGACTTGGTGCTGCCTGTCTAACCACACTTCTTCTACAGGATCTTCTAGTGTTCACTTGTCAGCAAATAAAGCTACAGAACTGTGGCAACCATGGTGGTCTTTATCATGAAAACTGCCCCCCTACTCTCTAAGGCACCCTAGAGCTTGTGGTTCTAAAAGAGAGACAATCTGAAGAAGATCAGGGCTATTATTAAATTATAAATGTTTACACGGAATATATCACAGCTATTTCCATACTTCTTTGCTTGCAATAAAATGGAGTTGGCTTAGAAACTATGACTGGAAATGGCCTGGAAGTTTACTTAGAGCAGTTTATGTTTACCAGAACCCTAACAATTTGACATTTCTCTGTGTGTGTAAAGGACTCTCAAGTCACAGCCAATTTCTGGTGACCCCAGCAAGGGGTTTTCGAGGCAAGTGAGAAACAGAGGTAGATTGCCATTGGCTTCCTCTGCAAAGCTTTCCTTGGTGGTATCCCTTCCGAGTACTGACCCCTGCTTAGCTTCTGAGATCTGATGAGGTAGGGCTATACCATACCACCTTCCCTGCCTCCTCTGACATTTCTGCCATCTATTAATTTTTACACTAAACCCTCTGCATCTATTCTGCAAGCATTTCCCAACAGATTACAATGACTCTTCTAAAGCTTTTCAGCCTCTTAGCATTTTATAAGTCCCAATGTCCTTCTCGATTCCTCCTGTGTGGAAAGGATTTGGAGGGGGACGAGCGGCTATCCTGGCTAGATACTGTAATAAAGAGTCTATTCAGAAAGGAAGTAAGGACACTGTCTAATTTTTCAGAACGCTTTAATGTTGACCTGCATTTTAGAAGCCCATGACTTCCTGCATTCTCCTTTCCATTTGTCTGGCATAATGAAAATTCACCATTTACAGATTTCTACAAGGAAGCATTTTCTCCCTCTTACCTGTACGGTGTGCTAATTCTTTGCATAAAATGCAAAATCCCCTTTAAAGAACATTAGTCACACTCATTTTAGAAGGAAAGAGATGGTGATAGCTTTTTTCTTTTTTATTTCTGCACTACAAAGACAGCCATGGCAATTGTTCATAGCTCTAAATCCC